CATGTGATGCAGGTTGGTTGATGGTTAAATCACAAGGGAAGGGACCACAGCTAGTTATCTCTAGACTAACTGCAAATACTTTCACCACTACCAGTTGATTAGCCCTCACTAGATGGTTGTAGCTGCATGGGATGTCATTCAGCTGCTCTTCATGCTCACTGGGATACAGAAGATTCCAAAACTCTCTTTGTCTCATCAGCTTCCTTGCTCCTTGAAGACCTTTTTTCACTCCTACCTTTTGATGGACATAAGAAACAATGAGGTCCTGCTCTTTTTTCTATGCCCTACTTGGAAAGAGTGCACAGTTCTTCTGCCCTCAGGCTCATCTGCCCATTTTGGATTTCTGTTCTTACCCTCCTCTCTGGACCCAGCTTAGAAGACATGAACTGTTTTTAAGGGCTCAGCAATACCCAGCTTTCTTGCTTTCCCTTTATCAGGCCAGAGCATCTTTCTCACCTGGAGGTAGGGAAAGGACTCCGGCGACTAGCCAGGTGTTCTTCCTTACCTTTACTCCAGCCTTGGTGTCTCCTTTGGAATAAAAAAAAACAGGAATTTGGGCAGCTCTGGTGGCCCAGCGGTTTAGCGCTGCCTTCAGCCCAGGGCCTGATCCTGGAGACCCGGGATTGAGTCCCATGTCGGGCTCCCTGCATGGAGCCTACTTCTCCCTCTGCCTGTATCTCTGCCCGCCATCCCCCCCCCCCGTGTCTCTCATGAATAAATAAATAAAATTTTTTTAAAAAGCCAGGAATTTGACTTATTCTATGTAGTTTGTGAGATGTCCTCTTTTTCCTGAGGCAGCATATGCTGCTGCTTCAATGAGGGGCACCTGAAAGAATAAGAGGAAATTTGGGGAAAAAGAAACCCTGCTTAACATCTCAGAAATATAATTTGCCTCATTTATATGATGAGTGGCTGAATTTGAAGGGAATGAAGTTAGTGGTAGTTAACCCAGGTTTCCAGAATCACTCTCCAAAGTTTATCAGTTTGCTGCTGATTCTAGGAAGAAAGAAGCATGCCACTTGGGAAGAAGAACAGAAAGTTTGCAGATTGAGTGAGTCTGCAGGGATGCCTGTTTGTTGTTTATTGGTGGTGGTGGTTTTTTGTTTGTTTGTTTTTTGTTTTTGCTTTTGTTTTGTTTTTTTGGCTTCTGTCATAAAGTTTCTCCCAAACAGTTGAGATTCTGATAAAATAAATATCTGTCATGTTATTTAAGAATGGGCGACCAAGCAGGTGACAAGGTGTCCTTGATTTGGTAAGGTTCCATGCTGTCTTCAGCTGATATTGATCTCATATTAAGTGATATGCAGTGAGAGTTTCCTCTGTCAGTTCAGTGACACGATTTTAGGTAAGGAAAGTAGAAGGTCTCTGCGTTAGCTAGAGATGATTACAGTAGATATCACCTGTCTTAATAGCCCTACCTTCCTCTGCTAAGCTGTGGGCAAATGAGATTTTATGCTTTATCATCAGGCTGCCAGACAGGACTCAGGTAACTATGTAAAATCTCATGCTCTGTTACACACTAGTTGATGTTTATGAGGAAAAATAAGTATATTTAAGCTTTTTATAACATTTGTTCCTTCACAGCAAGAGAATATTACACGTTTGTATAAGGCTTTCTATTGTCATGCTTAACCACTGTGACTTTTACAACTGCATGTTAGCTGGCACAGTAAATTACTGGAGAAGCACTATGAAGATGTCACTGAGCTTTGCCTGCTGTGTGCTAATCTTCAGAAGTTACAGAAAAACATAGCCGCAGATGTCATTTCAAGCTCCTTTTACTACACTAACAGTCTGAGATGCCACTCTTAATAACATGAGGTCACTTTTAACTAAATTCTTGCTGTAACAGTCTTCTTAGAGAAAATGTTACCAAGCCAGCATTTCTGTAGAATACACTTCATGGCAAGGTGTTGATTACCTAACAAAACCAATGTGAAAAGCCCATTAGGGGAAGGGAACCAAATGTTCCAACTTTCTAAATTGCAGTCCTAGTTAAAGACTCCTGTAAATGGCAGAGCAGGGCCTGTAAGGCTCCTGGTGCAGGGCCATCCTTCCTAATGCAGCCAGTGCCTGCTGTGGTTGTCTTGTGGGGGTGGATGAGTTCATAATGGAAATACCATGAAGAACATTTAAAATGAATAAAGTGTTATAAGGACTCAAGTTTTAGGAAAACTGATTTCCCAGTAACAGCTCTCTTGAAATAGAAGGTTCTCCGTATGAGATCTTGGAGAATGGAAGCTTAACACCAAGCATTTATTGATCAAGAAAAAGAGCCAAATGTCATCCAACACTTGATATGAATCAGGTAAAATAAGGACACTTTCTAAGTTTTCCTACATAGTGTCTCAGCTTCTAGAACAGATGGTCTAACATAGAATTTTTATGAAATGTTTGCCCCTGAGGAATGGAATGGGCAAAAACTACATAATACAGTGCTTACTGTAGTAGCTAAGCTTCGAGGCCCTGAGTCTGAACAGATGAAAAGACTCTATCTCTGGTATTGCCTTACGAAATTTCTTCCACAATGAGACAAGTAAGGAGAAGTCTTATTTGAATCAATGAAAAGTTCATAGTATGATTATGTTTTTTTTTGTTTTGTTTTTGTTTTTTTGTTTTTAAGAATGATAGGAGCTCTCCTATCCAATGTGATTGGGGCTGGTACTTGGGTAAACAGAATAAACAAATTTTAAATCAAATGACATAATGGAAACAATTATATCAACTTAAAACATATCATTGTACATTTTTTCCAATTTTTTGATGCACAACCAACATCTAATGTTTTCTGCTTAGAGGTCCCTTCATCTTTTTTGCATAAACTGCATTCATAATATGTTGTTTTCCGGGTAAACCTTGTTTAAAATTGAATGAAAATTCAGCAGTCTGAATTCAGAATACTCAAATTTTACTTTTTTTAAAAAAAGATTTTATTTACTTATTTACGAGAGACACAGAGAGAGAGCAAGAGAGGCAGAGACACAGGTAGAGGGAGAAGCAGGCTCCATGCAGGGAGCCTGATGTGGGACTCGATCCCAGGACTCCAGGATCATGCCCCGGGCTGAAAGCAGGTGCTAAACCCGCTGAGCCACTCAGAGATCCCAAGTTTTACGTTTTTTAAACCACCTATTTGGCACTATCTTGTCAATCACTTATTATCAGCAATTTTTTTTTTTTTGTAACTTGTCACTATCAAGTTTTTTGGCAAGCACTTAATAGTTTTCCTCACCAAGATAACACTCATACTTGTCCTTCATCAGTTTGTCATATCTAAATCACAAATTTACGGTAACAAGCACAACTGGCATAATCAAGTTCAGGAATAAGCACAATGGCTCGTGTAAGCTCACACCTTGCCTGGAAGGGCAGAGGTTAATGGATGTACCAGAGAGCACATACTAGTCATAGGCATTCTCTATGGCAAAGGTAACCATCAGCATCTGTTAGAAAGAACCAGAGAGCTCTGGTTAATCTTTGAGTTGGTTGAAGGGCCTTCAATTAAGACTGTTTCTACTATAAATACATTTCATTAGCATGCATAGGTTGTAACTCTTAAAGAACATCTTTGCAAAATGTTTTCTAGTATGGGTTCTGCAGAACTTGCCTTAATGAATAGCTAACATTCACTTATAATCAGCAGAATCTGTCTGCACACATAATTGGTGCTCTAAAGTGCTTTTCCCCAGCAATCTAGTTTACAGTGGTACTATAATTGGTTTGTTCATCAGACTATTTTTTCCTCAGATGGGAAGAAATAGCGTTTTGGTCCACTCCTCATTGAGTTATCACAGTTTTAAAATTAATAATTTGGAGATGTAATGAATTCTTTTTCCATTTATACATGCTTGAGATCCTAAATACCTCTCTATCAGTGTTTATAGATTTTTTTCCTTCTCCTAAATACCGATAGCAATAAAGTATGCTATATATGCTTTATAAAGTATGCTCAGTGGTTTAGTGCCACCTTCAGCCCAGAGCCTGATCCTGGAGACCTGGGATCGAGTCCCACATCAGGCTCCCTGCATGGAGCCTGCTTCTCCCTCTGCTTTGTCTCTGCCTCTGTGTGCGTGTGTGTGTGTGTGTGTGTGTGTGTGTCTCATGAATAAATAAATAAAATCTTTAAAATAAAAAAGGAAATAGATAATGTCCCTGTTGATATTAGGTTGTCCCTATTGATTTTAAGTTGAGACATGTGAAAAATTTTAGAGTTGAGAGAGAGAAGTGTGTATACACACACACACACACACAGAGAGAGAGAGAGAGAGAGAGAGAGAGGGACATAGGTAAAGAGAGAAAGACATAGAGTTGACAGATTTATAAATATATTTATATATATACAGAGACAGAGACAAAAAACAGAGATAGATACCAAGGTAGGAATAGAAGTAAAAAAGGAGAGGAAAAAAAGATAAGGTGAGAAATAAAACAGAGACAGATGGAAGCAGAGACACTATGTGGAAGAAAAAGAGAAACCACGACATCTACAGAGACAGAGGAGGAACCACCTCAGCAATGTTGCTCAAAATGAGCTCAGTCTTTGCCCTGTTTGACCAAGTCTGTAGAGCTACAGGTGTGTCAGTAACCAGGATCGGCAAGCAGGCCCAGGAAACAGTGTCAGAACAGACAATACCAGACCTATGAGTAAGTCATAGCCTGGAGAGTAATTAGGTGGCCCCAAACCACTTGTACATAGCTGGTTTTTTTAAATTTTTATTTATTTATGATAGTCACAGAGAGAGAGAGAGAGACAGAGAGAGGCAGAGACACAGGCAGAGGGAGAAGCAGGCTCCATGCACCGGGAGCCCGACGTGGGATTCGATCCTGGATCTCCAGGATCACGCCCTGGGCCAAAGCAGGTGCTAAACCGCTGCGCCACCCAGGGATCCCTTGTACATAGCTGTTATGTTTAAACTTTAAATGTATTTAAATTTTTGTTTTTTGTTTTTTGGGTTTGATGGTTTTTTTGTTTTTTTGTTTTTTTGTTTTTTTTTTGGCTGCAGAAAGGTACTGAAGGAAATCTCTGTTGGAGAACTTAATCCGAATGAGACTGTGCAGGCCAATGTGGAGGCCCAGCTCCTTTCCAAGCTGGACCATCCAGCTATTGTCAAGTTCTACACCAGCTTTGTGGAGCAAGATAATTTCTGCATTATTACGGAGTACTGCGAGGTAAGACTCTCCTCTTTTGGAATTCTTGGTAAAAATCTGTTTCAAAGTATATAGTTGCCTGCAAAGAGATACCTCATAAGTTCAGTGATTGAATCACAAGTTGGGGAGCTAGGTTAAATAGGTGATTGGGATTAAGGATGTTTTGTGATGAGCACCAGGTGATGTATGGAAGTGTTGAATCACTATATTATACACCAATATTACACTATATATTAACTAACTGGAATTTAAAGAAAAACTTAAAAAAAAAAAACAACCCTCCACTAGCTGAACTATAAAAACGTGGGTTATGGTGTCTTGTAGCTAAGAATGACAATCTCTAGGTAATTGATGAACTCCTTTTTTTTTTCCTAAGAGTTTATTTATTTATTCATGACAGAGAGAGAGAGACAGAGACAGAGACAGAGAGAGAGACACAGGGAGAGAGAAGCAGGCTCCCTGCAAGGAGCCTGATGCAGGACTTGATCCCAAGACCCTGGGGTTACAACCTGAGCCAAAAGCAGACACTCAACTGCTGAGCCATCCAGGTGCCCTGACAAACTCACTTATAATAAAGGAGTAGTTGCTGCAGGAGAATGTTTCTTGGGGGAATAATTTTGGGGGGAGAGTCACCTGAACCTTCTACAATGGTCCAGTGCTTAGATGGACATTTAAATGCTGTAACAGAGGCCTGGACAGAGCAGAGGTCCATCTCTTGTGCTTTGAGTTCTTGGCTTATACCTATTTTCCCCAGTGGAAATTTGGAAATGGAAATATGGCTCATTTTCCTCATGGAAATCTTTCTTTGTATTTATCAAACTGTGATTTATGACTTCCTGTATTTGCAATTTTCCCTGCCACTCCATGTTCTCTGCAAATAATAGCTATGCATTTTACTGAGCCCCAACTGAGTATGAAGCTGCTTGGGAAAGTACCAGAGAGGGAAACAGATAAGGAGCAGCTGTATTATGAATCTGTATGCTTGTTCCTGAGAGGGTAGAAAGAGGGGAGATTTAAGGGCTGACTCGGAGAATACATGAAGATGACCTTGCTCAAAAAAGTAACTTCCAGAACATTCTGGGAGCTAATCTTAACTAAATGTACTTTTAGGGAATTTGGTGCTTATTCATACTTTAGAGTGAGTTTAGTCAGTTCATTACCTGGATGTTGTGGGGGCCTGAAAGAAAGGATGCTGGAAAGAGGGAAGATGCTCCTTAGAAGGGAAGACAGGCCCGTTTGGGTCAGAAACTTTGGACGACCAGAAAGTGTTGTGTGTTTGAGACACAAAAAAGGAGAGGCAGGAGGAGAATTTAAATAACCACATATGGCTACTAGCTACTATATTGAACAGGTCTTGGTGATAAGCTAGAACTTTCTTTTCTTGCCTTATTTTTAAAATTTTTAAATTTTAATATAATTTTAATGTACCAGAGAAGTTGTAAGAATAACACAGTGAACCATTAGTCCATATTTGCCAACTGTTAACAATTTTCCCACATTTGCTTTATCATTCTATATATTCATTGATCTATCTATATTTTTTCCTGAACCATTTGAGAGGGAGTTGCAGACAGGATAGCTCTTTGTTCTAAATACTACTGTATTTTTTAAGGCTGAGGACATTGTCTTCCATAACCATGTACAATGATCAAAATCAGGAAATGAATCTTGTAACAATGCTGGTATGTAATCCAATGCTTGTCAAAATGTGATTCTAGGCCAGCTGCATCACTATTGCTTGGGCATTCCACCCCAGCCATACTGAATCAGAAATTCTGGAGGTGGGGTTCAGCAATCTCTGTTTTGTCAAGTCCACTAGGCAAGTCCAAAACACATCTAAGTTTGAGAACCACCCATCTAATACACATCCATCTTCAAATATAGCCCACTTGCCCTATTTATGTCTTTAGAAAGGACATTTCTGTATCTTTTTTCTCATGCAGGATCCAGTCCAGAATCATTTGTGTTAATTTTTGAATTCTAGTGGTTTCCAAGGGCTGAGCTACTGTCTCAGGAGGGGCGTTGCCATGGTGATGACCACAGGCAGGCCCGTGGGAACCGCTGTAGGGCTTCCAGGGAGGGCTCCACACTGCTGCTGAGCTGTCAGGCTGTCACTTCCCCAACTCCCAAGGAATGACGTGGCGGATTGCTGGTTCTTGTTGTTAACAGAGATATTTTCATCTTCAGACCTAAATTGGTTCTTAACTTGCACAAGCCTGGCATTATCATCTTTTTATTGAGGTAAAATAATATTGAAAATAGCAGATGACCAAACTTGCACCTCATAGGAAAATGCCATCACCATTGAAATAGTTGGTCTTTTTCTCTCCAAGTTTGCTCTTTTGTAATTTATTTTGGGGCCTTGCAAGATTGAAATATATAAATGCGTTCATGAGGCTGCTACATCCATCACTCAACCCTTTGGGCACATCACATCAGATTATGAGTATGAAAAGCAACCAACTGAACTCTCACAACTTCTTGTCAAGATTGAACCAAATCTTTGATGGAAACTAGTTCCCGAACTACCAAAGTGGGAGAGTATTTAAAATATTGGTGTCCTTTTCTTCCTCACTCCCACCACCCAGGGCTAAATGGAACTGCTTCCTCTTTCCTGTCGGTCCTGCAGTTTCACACCTCTTCATCTGTACTTGGATCATTTCCTTTCAGAATGCCCTCCTTCAAATCCTGTTCATCCTCCCAAGTCCAAAAGAAATGCCTCCTTTACAGACTCCCATAATTGCCTGGCTGGAAATCTCTCCCCACCTGGCTCCTCTGACCTCCATCCTATAGCATTTTATTTCTCCTGACATTCTACCTATTATACATAGTATAAACTTTCTCAGACTTTCCACAAGGGATTTATCTTTTTCTGATTCATTTTTGTATTATATCATGGACCCACGTAGTGAGCCAGAAAATTAGCACTCAGAAATTTTTTTTTTTCCTGACGAAGTCTTTATCACTTACTTCCAGCTGCCTCCCACCTCATTTCTGTCAAACCCTAATGGTAAGAAATAAAATATTGGCTCATTCTACCTGTTATATATGTCAAAAGCATTTTGGCCTACTTTATTTTGCTGGCTCACCTAACAATGTACTGCCCTGGAGACCTAAGAGATACTACCTGAAAGTTTTCCCTTTGGACAAGGATAAGACATCCCCAGAAACCTGAGCATTAGCTTTATAGATGCAGGAGAGGATACATGAGATCACATATCTTCAGTAGAGAGAGAACATATAATTATCCACCAAAAGCAGGAAAGTTATGTTGACATAACTAAACAAAAATATATCATTATACAGTAGTGCTCAACTTTGGCTGTACATTAGAGTCACCAGAATATTTTAAAAATCGTAAGAGCTGAGGCCCATCTCCAAAAAGTCTGATTTAATTGATCTGGATTTTTATCTAGACATTAGAATATTTTTAAAGATTTTATTTATTCATGAAAGACATGGAGAGAGAGGCAGAGATAGGCAGAGGGAGAAGCAAGTTCCCTTCAGGAAGCCTGACACGGGACTTGATCCTGACCTAGGACCCTGGGATCACAACATGAGCCAAAGGCAGATGATCAACCACTGAGCCACCCAGACACCCCTTTAGATGTTAGAAGTTTTGAATGCTTTCCAAGTGATTTGAATGTGTAGCCAGGCTTCAAATTGCAGACAAAGGTGAATGGTTAGTGTAGAAACAGAAAAATGGGGTCATAAAGGAAAACTTTGTCAGTGTTTATGGGACACTGAACAAAGATGAGGCCCAGACCTGAGAACTGGGAAGTATGGTTGATAGTGGGTTAGATTTTATGCTTAGGCATCTCGCTTGGTACTATTCTTCATGAAAATTACCTGGCCTGTTTTCCTTGCTCCATGTACAACTTCTGATTACAGTTCAGCTCTCTACATATGCTTCTTCTTCTTCTTTTTTTTTTTTTTAAAGATTTTATTTATTTATTCACGAGAGACACAGACAGAGAGGCAGAGACCCAGAGGGAGAAGCAGACTCCTCACAGGGAACCTGATGCGGGACTTGATCCCCAGCCCTGGGATCACCACCTGAGCCAAAGGCAGATGCTCAACCACTGAGCCACCCAGGCGTCCCTATATATGCCTCTTCTAACAGGAAAAAAGCCTGCTGGCTAAACTGACAAGGGCTTCCTGTCATCTTGGCAGTTGTTCTTCCTGCATAGGAGTAAATCGACATCCTGGATTATTTATTGGTTCCTTAAGAATTCAAGTTCACAAAGGCAATAGTGATCAAAGGTCCTTCTGAAAGCCATTACTGATCTCCAGCTCTGTGTCAGATACAATTCTAGAGAGTAGGGGCAACAGGGATAACGTGATAATATTTCTTTAATGAACGTATATGGTAGAATAAATGAACCATTTTATCAATGGCAAAAATACAAGAGGGATGTGGTAAGGGCCTAGGGAATGAGGTGGTGAAAGTGCTGTGAAAGTTAAAAGTAAAGAGAAATGACTTTGGACTGCAGGAACCATGGAGGAGCTGGCGTTGCATTTGAATTTGAAACATGGGAAGGACTTGGTCAAGGGAGATGGGGCAAGGACATTTCAGTTAAAGGGAATAATGTGATAAAAAGCTCAGAAGTAGAAAAACATGGACCATGATTTAAGAACTTAATACTTCATCTTTAATTTTAATATATTTGCAGTTAAACACATTTCCTAATGTTAACAACTTCTATAACCACTGTGCCATATCAAAACCAGAATGTTAATATTTTACCAGTTTCCTTGCCAGTGTCTTTGTTCCAGGACCCAATCTAGGATCCTGCAATGCATTTAGTTGTCGTATCTCCTTAGTCTCTTTGGAAAGTTTCCCTCTTCCAGCCTTGTTTTTACGATCTTGATACTTTTGATGCGCACTGGTAAGTTATTTTGTAGAAGGCCTCTTAGTTTGGATTTGTTTGATGTTTTCTCATGATTAGATTGAGGTTATAAATTCTGGGCAAGACTATCACAGAAGTGATGTGGTGTCCTTCTCAGTACATCATATTAAG